CCCTCTACTCCTGGAGGCAGGGTTGGGTGGCACAGCAGGAGAGCACCAAGGTGCCTGTGTTGCATGCATAGCAGAGAGGAAGCTGGATTACGTGCAGCACGGGGGGAACTGGGCTATCCATCCTGCACGTGGTGGCAAAAAGGGAAGCTGCCCCCACAGCGAGCACAGCAAGAGAGCCAGGACGCTTGTGCTACACACAGAGAGGACAAGGACAGGTATTCATGCTTGGCATGCAACAAGGGAGGGAGCCAGGCTGCCTGCGCTGCACCAGCAGTGAAGGGGAGAGATGCCTGGTCAGAACCTCTGGCCAGGAATGGGGTGAGGCTGCATGTGAAGCAGAAAGAGCCGGGCTGCCCACGTAACAATCAACATGCACAGCGTGCAACCCTATAAATCAGTGGCCCAGATGGCATGCAACCTCTGGCTACCAAGAAGTTGGACAACCCTGTTCTAAATAACCCAAAGGGTTATTAGTAATGTTACTATTAATGACAGAGAAATCAATTTGCAACATTTTTAAATTCAAGAGTGTTCCTTTAGCTTAACTAATTTTAGAAGTGAAATCTAACACAGGCCTTATTAAAAAGGGACACTTATGACCAAAAAAAGTCAGTAGTGCAATTTATCAAAGACTTTTTTTTTATCAAGACCCTTTCATCACATCTAGAGGGAGAGAAATACGAAGAGAGAGTTAGATACACTTTAATAAGCTATAAGAAAAAAAGAACACCCCCCACCCACAAACACATGATATACTAACAGATTAATACAAAGTTGTCCAATTCAGACTTGAAGTTTGAACATGTTCTTCCTATACATCTTTCAACCACCTGGAAGAATGGTGAGATTGAGCATGAGAGAACAAACATAAGTATGCTGAAGTTGGGCAACAAGTGGGAAGCACAACAGTCCTCAATACTCCTATTCTATTATTAAGAGAAACCTCAAAACATCAGTGACCACACTGAATGTCTATAGCCAAGTAACTACTAAAGAAAACATTCCATACTATCAGTAAAGTATGAGAATATTTTCTTAAAACTTGTAACACACATCCCACTAGATGGAAGACACTGTATATCACTAAACTGTTAAAATAACTGGCCTATTTGGGGAACCATCACAATGACAACACTAGAGAAACAAAATTCAGACTTCCATACAATCAATGTGTGAAACAAGACACTTGCAAAATTGTTTTTAGATAAACTGGAATCAGTTGTAACATTTCAGAATATATTAACTTGTATCAAACAGATTCTGTTTCATCAGATCTCATTCTTTTCAGAATAGAGCTATGGGTTTTCCGGAAAATTTTGAATTGGAAAATGTTCTGGAAATTTTTCCAATGCCCTAAATAGAGCGTGATCTGATTTAGCATGTTTATTTGACTTATATTTAGTCAACAAAATTAAAAAAGTACCCCCCCATGTTAATTTTATGTCCCAATAGCCACAAGTATTTGAAATGAAATATCTGATTAGGAAAAAAATTAAATACAGCACACTTAATGTGGTTTAAATGTTCTATTCAAACAAATTCAAAGCTTTATATGGAAAGAAATTATTTTTATTGTAATACTTTTAAAAATGTAAAGACAATACACAATAGCATGTAATCTCTTATATTGTTTAAATTTAAGAAAAAAAATGAAGGCACTGAAAACTGTTGACACGCTAATTTTAGCACACCCAAAGAACTGTGCATAATATGCCATACTTTGATTTGATCTGCACAGCCATTTAGGTGAATTCATACCATTTAATACCAAATTATGGGGCAAAGTTAACACACCAAGAGGGTAGGGAATGGATTCAGGTGGATCTGGACAGGTTGGAAGAATGGGCAGACTGAAATAGGATGCAGTTCAACAAAGACAAGTGCAAAGTGCTGCACCTGGGCAAAACGAACCACCAACACACTTACAGGCTGAGGGATGACCTTCTCAGCAGCAGAAAGGAATCTTGGGAGTCATAGTTGACTCCAAGATGAACATGCATCATCAATATGACAAAAGTGATCAAGAAGGTTAAAAACTTTATCATGCATTAGCAGGTGCATGATGAACAGGTCCAGGAAAGTGATGTTTCCCTTCTCTGCAGCACTGGACATGCACAGTTGGAGTACAGTACTGCGTCCGGTTTTGGGCACCACACTTCAAGAGGGATGCGGAGAATCTTGAGAGGGTTCAGACGAGGACCACTCGTATGGTTAGAGGCCTGCAGGCAAGGACCTATGAGGAGGGACTGAGGGACCTAGATCTCTTCAGCCTTTGCAAGAGAAGGCTGAGAGGTGATCGTGTGGCTGCCTATAAATTCATCAGGGGAGGGCAGCCAGGAATAGGAAATGCTCTGTTTATTTGGGCACCCCCTGGAGTCACTAGGAACAATGGCCACAAATTGATGAAGAGCATATTTGGGTTGGACATTAGAAAGATCTTCTTCACAGTAAGAATTGCCAGAATCTGAAATGGGCTTCCAAGGGAGGTGGTGCTCTCCCCTACCTTGGGGGTCTTCAAGAGGAGACTGAACAAGCACCTAGCTCGAGTAATCTAAACCCAGCGCTCTTTCCTGCCCAGGCCAGGGGGGTCAGACTCAATGACCTACTGAGGTCCCTTCCAACCCTAAGATCTATGAATCTATAACTTGATTTTTTATTTGGATTGTTATTTACCCTCCTGTTTACAAATCAATAAAACATATGTGCTTTCTCACACACTTCCTAGGGATAATCACCTGAAAAAACATTAATTACAACTTCAAAACTGCCAAGCTTGCCTAATATGGTATTGGCATCCATTCATTGTTACTAATGAATTTTATGAAACGATGAATTTTTAGAAATGGAAAATTTCCCACAGAAAAATAAAGCACTGGAAAATTTTCGGCCACACAGATCTGTTTCAGAATGAAATATTTTTCCTAGAATATCTAACTCCTTTGCCAAGTGACATACTCCTACGCTCCATGCACAATCCAACCACCACCACAGACACATGCTCCATGCATGCCACTTCACCCTGCTCAGTTTCCACGTTTAAATTAGGGTGGGCACCAACATAAAAAGTTGTACAATAAAAATAATGCAGGCAATAAGTTCATCAAATTGCTACTTTCTAGTAAAAGTGTTTGTTTTCTTTAAATAGTGTCTAACACACATGGAAAGCTGTGTGGTCTAACATTGGGGCGGGCAATTATTTCGGGCGGACGGCTGCTTACCAAGTTTTGGCAAGCCATCGAGGGCTACATGATAGGCAGCCAGGGGCAGATAAATATTAATTTTCTAAATTTTTTTTGGGGCCCCGTGGGCCGCATTTTGCCCACCTCCATCCCACATACTAGAATAGTGGTTCTCATCCAGGGTGCTGCAAGACCCCCTCAGGGGTGCTGTGATGCAGGCTCTGCTGCCACAGCAGTTGGTAAAACTGCCTTGCATGCCAGGCTGTGATAGAAGCACTCTTCCTGCCTTAGGGCACTCTGATAACTTTCTTCCCAGGCTCCTTCCTGCCCCCCACGCTCCTCCTGGAGAGACACATAGACCAGATCCATCTCTCCACAGGTCTCTACTTCCAGGAGATGCTGTACCTAATCAGACTGGGAAGAGCTGCAGCATGAACCACCTCTGTCATCTGCTTTAGAGTTAATGGAGAACCTGAAAGCAGGAGGAGCATCTGCATGTGCCACAGCCCTTCCCAGTCTGGCTACCCAGCAGCTGCATAGGGCACTTTTACTTGGCAGCAGCAGCACCCAGTTGGGAACTGAGGCAAGATAAACACAACAAAGGTTCACAGCTGGGGATGCTGCCATACTCAGTTGTTCTGGAGGGATGCCCTGACTGAAAAGGTCAAGAACTCCTGCCCTAGACCCACAGGAACTTTGAAAACGTGTCACCTACCTGAATCCCCTTGCAAATAAATTAAGATGGTTGCCTCAAGAAATTAAAATGAATCACTTTCAGCAACACTTTCAGTTCAGTAGCTATTACATACTTCATGGCATACAGGTACGCAATTTATTTCATCTATATACCTATCCATGAGACAGTCAACAAATTCCTTTTGATAGCAACCTTAAGCAGGAGTTTGACCTCTCTCCCTTCTGGCTACCTTTGCAGTCATTTAAAACATATTAATGAATGAGGGCATACCAGCTGATGGATGCAAAATGAACCAAGGCAAAGGCCACTTTCCAAACACCTGCCTCACCATGTCATAATTACTTCACTGTGAAAGTGAAACTAGCTTTTGCCCTATTGCTACTAGTAATCTTCACACCTCTACAAAAAAGCAGGCTGTAGCAAAACACAGATCAGACACTTTTCCTAGGGCAATTAATAGTTTTCCTTCATAAAATAACCTACAGTTGGTTATTCCATGATCAGGCCAAGCTAGAAGATGTTTTTGGGGTAGGCTGGGAAACCTCTGTGCTAGTCTGGCCTGGATGTTCTCTAGCACCTAAAACTCAAAGTAACCCTGGCCGCGGGCCCCTCAGTCAGAAAGAAACGGAGCAAGAGGCGTTCACATTTGAAGCTGGTCCCGGAACCGCCAAAGCAGAACCTCCCCCCAACCGGTGAAATCAGAAGCCAGAGAGCCGGGTGATAAACGGCAGCCGGCGGCTAGGAAACGCTGCAGCGCGTCACCGAGAGGAAGATGCAAAGCCCCCAGACGGCGGCCAAGCTCCGCCGCAGCTCTCAGCGCGCCGGTATCGCGGGGGAGGGGGACACGACAGAGAGCTACGGCGCGGCCTGAGCTACAGATGTCACCGGCTTCAGGCCGCTGCAGCCGCCGGCCTCGGCGCTCACCGCAGCTGGCAGCACAACAAAGGGCCCCGAGCCCGCATCGCTCCCCAGCGCGGGGATGCGGTCGGGGTCCGGCGGCCCCGCCCCCACCTCGCGGGGGCCTGCCCCAGCACCTGCCCGCACAACAAAACGTAAACAAAGCGGCCAAGCCACCGCCCCGGGGGTCTTCCCACCCGCCGCGGCCCACGCCCGCCCTCACTCACCTCACCCACCACCGCCACCGA